TAGGTACTGTATTGTCAGATTTCCTGTTTCATTGAGTCTTGATAATCGCTTTATGCATTTCCTGAATTTAGACATAGGCATTTCCTAGAGGTTCTGAATTTGACATTCACAAGTGATTCAAAGGAGTCTTCTTAAATCATACTTGACGGCTGACATAAATATGAATGTACGAAGTACAAGTTATAGGACCATCCTGTTCATTTAGATTCCTCCTCTTCAATTCTGTTGAAGTCTGACATGGTACAGAAAGGGCCCTACTCAGCGATGGGAAGTAGAGACATTCAAGTTAAAGAGGGAGATTTTGTAAAAACAAAAACAAAACCCAAAAAAGGATGAGTTTGACTCTCCCCAACTGCAGGGAGCAGGGTAAACAATGAAACAGAAGCCCAAATTCATCACTATGGTTTGGAAAGGCCTGTTACCTCCTGTCTTGGGGTGGTGAGTACAGAACGGGTTGAGACAGCATCAGTTCTATTATTACTCTTGACTCCTCTGATAGGCCCCCATCTGGCGGCTGGACAAGCTACTTTATGTCTTTGTAGATTAGCTAGTAACAGGGAGCTACTATTTCACTTACTAAAGTTTGCCTAATCTCAAAGTGCAAAAGTGATGTGTTAGGGTCATTGGTACTTGACCTTGTTCGTCTGTCTACATTCTCATTTCATTAGACCCTTCTTTGGCACCGGCAAAACTTTTCCATGTGAAAACTTTAATCGTAAAGAACGTTGTTTGTTTTTTCCGTGATGTCTTTCAATTTGAGTTATTGCAGAAATGTATAGACTTTCCGACCACTCCTTATGACCGTACTGAAACCTTTAACGAGGAAGAAAGCTGTAGGCTTCTGGAAAGCATTTTCCTATGGTGTCTTCCCTTGCTCCATTTTCTTTTCCTAATATATTTTAGAATTAAGCCTTTAATGGTTTCCTCGGGTATGTTTAGGCTTTATATAATGCTATCAAGACCTTAGTGATATGAGCTTTATCTCTTTGTAGGTCAGATACTAATTTATCTGCTTAATCTTATTTTAGCCACCAAAGTCCTTGGCACTGTTAAATGGTTCAACGTCAGAAATGGATATGGATTCATAAATCGGTACGTGCTTGTATCTCCGTACATGTTTTAAATGCATGCTTGCTTTGTGGCACCAGCAGTTTATAGATCCTTGACCAGACTTTTTAAATGGCTTGTGTAAGTTTTTTTGTTCATTTTGTTTTCAGTTGATGGCTGGAGTAAGTTTTAAGATTTGTAAGCACTGTGACCATTCTCCTTTCTAAGCTAGTGGTTATTAAATATGAATTAAAATACACTTCCAGAGTATGGATAAATGACATGTTTTTAAACATCCAGTCATTAAAAGAAAATTGAAGGTGAGGGAGATAAAAGAGACATGGGAAGGGCCTTAGGACGATTGAGACCCTATCTGTAATTTCACAGATGGAGAAATGGAGTCTTAGACTGGTTAAGCAACTTTCCCAGGGTCACACAGCTAGTGAGTAATTGAGCTAGATCTGTAACCCAGGTCTGGCCCAAGTCCTGCGTAGAAAGTATAGTGTTTTCTTTAAACGACGGTAGCTTCTAACCCTATAGGAAGGAGAACGCAGCTGTGGACTGTTGGCAGTCTGGTGATGTTTTTAGGTGATACAGTCATTCGCTTTGCCCCCCCCCCCCCCTTAAAGATTCCTTAATTTCTTCCTTATCTGATTTGGTGGGGGGGTGGGGTGAGTTAGGGCAGGGTGGTGGGGAGGGTGCTGTTTTGGGTTTCAGTGTAAGGAGAGCCTAGTTCACAGCTGTGCCCTGTCCTTTTACTGTCTTGCTTTGCTTTTTACTGGGAAGGAAATCTCGGGCTCTGATTACATTCCACGTGATTTAGGAGGCGATGAGAGGGAAGGGATGTTTCTGTAGATTCCGTGCACTTGGATCTAAGCACTGTGGTAATATGGAGGAGTATGACGGGGATCTTGCAGGTTTGGAAGTTTTTTACCAGGGACCGATTCTGGACTTCTGAGTTAAGTTGAGGAGAAACAAAGATGTATGTTGCCTTTTTTTGAGGTCTTGGGATCGAAACTCATAAAACATCTGTTCTTTTAAGTTTTTCCCCATATCTAGTACTTTCATTTGTGAACTTTTTGTCTTCTAACAGAAATGACACCAAAGAAGATGTGTTTGTACATCAGGTAAGAGGGATAATAAATGCTACGTTTGCTGTGTGAAGAGACGGGTGTCTGTGATCTGCTCGTGTCCCGTTTCCAAGATGAAGTCCTGTAAACCATCATTCCACTCTAAACGTTTTGCACGGTTTTATTCTGGCAAGAGAGCACACTTGCACATTTTAAGATCGGCAGATAAACTCTTCTGTCCCATCATTTTAGCCTTTTATTTTTGCAGTCGAGCGAAGTAATACTCAGACCAGTTGCTAATCTTTAAAGCCTTTGACTCCTTAGCAGAACTCTGTTCCCGTGTTACCATCTTATTTTCCTGATTTTGTGGTTCCCCTTCCGTGTTTGGCTGGAACTGATGTGGCTTTTGCCTGGGTGGGTGTTGGTTAAAGCTCTTCTCCCCGAGTGGCTCTGACTTGAAGTAAATAGCGCAGCAAAGCAGATGGTTAGGGTGTGTGTAGCCAGGACATGAGAAAACTCCCCAATGCCCAGGATAATCCTCTCTCCTGTAAAAATGAGGCATGGTTAGCACATGTCCGGGTCAAAAGGTCCACATCCCTTTGGATTCGGAGATGTAGGAGATGGGTAAAATATGGGAACCATGGGCTTCTTGGCTACTGATGTCTTTGTCTTTCTTTACATTCCTGGCCTAGGATGCTCTTTATTTCATTATGCAGCCTGGACTTGTTTTACAACACAGGTTAAAAGAAGAGATGCCTGCCCTCGTTGTTCCTTTTGTATATTTATTTAATTTCCAGCCAACTGTCTCAAGTCTGTGGGGAGCTTTAGTGTGTAACAGGAAAATACAGAGTCAGGTACTAAGACCAGTACCTACCTGCAGGGCTCTGTGAAGCAGCATCTGGTTTTCTTTGGTTTTGTTTCCTTCTGTTTTGGGTTGTGGGCGAATTGGGGTGGGAGTGGTGACTGGGGAGAGTAATATCTAAGATTAAGCTCTCTATTGTGGTTTCTGCTGTTTACGTTTCTGCTTGACTGGATGTATTTCAGTTGTGCCTAGATAATCTGAGATTTTTTGTTGTTGTTGTTGTTGTTGAGACCCAGTGACCTTTAAAGTTAAAACAGACTGAAAGAAAGTGTTGCTTCTCATACCTAGAGGTTAATGGGTAGACCTTTGGGGTTAAGCAGTCTGTGTTTGACAGCTACATTATAGGGACCTCACAAGTTTGTGTCCTGGTGGCCAGCATCATTAGCCTGCGAGTCTATGACCTGATTCCAGCCCCCATGAGGTTGCGTGGTGAGTCACCTCCATGTGTTGAGGCCTGCCCCGTTGAACAGGAAAAAGGGAACGAGCCGGCAGGGAGGGGCTGTTTTTGGAATGGCTGAATGTGCTAACTGCGCGCCGATATCCTGCCCTGAGCCGCCTTTCTTCCTCCGTGGGTGAGGTCTCTGTGGCATTGGCTCCTTTTTTTCCCCTCCTCCCTCCCACTCAGAGTAAGGGAAGGGCTGGATTACACATGCCTAATCGCTTTATAAAATAAGGTTGACCTAGTTCCATAGAAACTCAGAGCCCCTTTAACTATTTAGAGATACCAGCTAAAGAAATGGAAATTCTTTGCAGGAATTATTCTCCCCGCCACTGACCGAAAAGGGGAGGCCTTTTCATACGCAGATACTGAGGTGCAGGTGTTTCATGCAGCAGAGCATCTCCATTAAACTTTTAATGTATTATCACAGAATGTGTAGGGATGAGTGAGATACAAATGGTGTGATGGGGAAAGTATTGGATAAATATCATATAGATACAGTGCAGGGATATGGATTCCCCCTACCCACCCTGCCTACCCCCCCCCCCCCCCCCCCCCCCCGCAGGCTGTATCTTTATGTCTTCAGCAAAATCCCTTACCAGCTTCATTGTTTTTCTTCTCCATAAAATGGAGGAAGGGGGAGAAGAGGCCAGATTATGATTATCAGTAATGTTTCGTTCCTGAGGTAATTGTGTGTGTTCCATCAGGTGTATTTATCCCCCCTGGCATTTTAAAATTCCTTTTCTCTAGTCTTCATCATCCCTCCTCTCCTTCGCTCCTTTTAAAATTCTTTTTGAGATTCTCTTGTCTGTAGATAGTTTCTCCACCTAAAAAGAAAAATAAAATAAAAAATATATGTGTGTTAAGCAGGACTTCATGAAGGCATCCCCCCTTTCCCCTCACCCATAGAGGTACAGTCTAAATCTTAGATGCCTAATAGCCTGAGGGAACTAATATTTCCAATTTCATGATCAGGCTGTAACGGAGGTGGGTACTAACTCTGCACATGCCGTTGAATCCACCTACCAAGATGAATTTCAAAGGATACCACAAATTAAGAAAACACGGAACATAGTTTTACTGTGTTTTTGTTCTGTTTTGTTTCGTTTTTTATTACTGTTTTGAAGATCCAGGTGAGTGGGAGAGTAATTTCAAAAAGTAATAAACTTGTATGCAGTAAACTTGCGAGATGAAATCTGTGGCCAATATTGACATACTCTTCATTTAGAATTTTCTGTTCTCTTGACAGACTGCCATCAAGAAGAACAACCCACGGAAGTACCTGCGCAGTGTAGGAGATGGAGAAACTGTAGAGTTCGATGTGGTTGAGGGGGAGAAGGTGAGACTATCGTGGCTGGGTATCGAAGTGTGCTAGCATACGGTTTTCTTGCATAGTGAGTGGTCTCTCAGCCCCTTATGAATTAACCTTATTTTGGATTTTTGACAGAAGTGACTTTTAAGTAGAAAATTTTTGATTACTGAATACCGCTATAAATGTTCTTTGATTGATTATAAAAGGAGGTTGTAATTTCTCAATAAATGATGAAGAGCCCTATTTAGTTATAGAGGGAGAAGCTAATTTTTCAAAAGTTAAAGGATGTATTTTATTTCGGTACCAAATGTATATTCCAGTGTAGATTAAAATTTTATAGTATTTTTTTAATCCCTGCACCCAACATGGGGCTCCAACTCATGACCCTGAGATCAAGAGTCAAATGCTCCACAGACTGAGCCAGCCAGGTGCCCCATAACACTTATAGTATTACAAACAGATAAAAGTTGCTTTGGGGAAAAAGATATCTTTTTTTTTTTAAGTTTATTTATTTATTTTGAAAGAGCACGAGTGGGGTGGGGTGGGGGGTGGGGGGAGAGACGGAGGGAATATCCCAAGCAGGCTCCACGATGAAAGTGCAGAAAGAGATCATGACCTGAGCCAAAATCAAGAGTCGGATGCTTAACCGACTGAGCCACCCAGGCTCCACATTTATTTAATACAGAAACTTAAATTATTTCTTTACTAATGTGATCCCTCAGCTGTGTTGCAAACCTGGAGTTTCAAATCATCCACCAGCAAATGCTGACCTGTAATGATCTCTGTTATCCCATCCAACTCTTAAAATTTTGTATTGCCAGGTTAATTTCACCTTCATATGTTTTCAGAACTTGAGGTTTTACAAATAGATGTTGAATGTGAAATATATTCTTTTGAATCTCTTTTGTCTGATTTTTTTTTTTTATGTTTTTGAAGCATTATTTTATCTCTTTGTCTGTAAGAGAATAAGAACGCTGAGTGTGTTTGAAGGATACTAAGACGGTCTAAAGCGGCACCACATTTGTGGAAACGATGTCTTACTCAATCCAGGACTCTTCTGTTGCTGCCGAGATGGGAGAAGTTTCCCTCTCAATAGCTCAGTGCTGGACAGAGCCACTCGAGCCCATGAAGAGCTGTTCTCTTAGTGCCTCTTAGAATAATCTAGGTTTCAGCGTTGTTCTAGGATGATAACATCTAATTTTTTTCCCATGGAGAAATATTCTTCCTGGTCTAGCATTACTTCTTTCACAATCGCATTACATTTACTGGTGTGTGTTCTTTAAAGAGGTACATACCGTTTTTGAAGTTAGCATAACCAAACAAGAAGGGAGAGTTTAGGTTGTGTGAGCAAAGAAACTACATTTATAATCAGGACACCAAGCACCTTGCTGATCTTATTAAGACTTGGGTGAGTATTTGAGATCACGGTAGGAATTGTGGGTACGTTCTGCCAGCTTTAAACATTCTGATTGTCCCAGGCTGGTTTTTTATGGGGGGCATGGGTGAAAGGGGTTAGTTGAGTTAGCTTCTTTTGATTTTGAGGCCGTCTGTGTTTGTCTTCTTTCTCAGGGTGCAGAAGCAGCCAATGTGACTGGACCGGATGGCGTTCCCGTGGAAGGGAGCCGTTACGCTGCTGATCGGCGCCGTTACCGACGTGGCTACTATGGCAGACGCCGTGGGCCTCCCCGTAATGTATGTTGTCTCAGTGCCCAAAAGAGTTTTCACGTGTAAAACGAAGTATACATACCTGCAGCAGATAAATGTATCTCCTCCCGGAGGCACAGAATGATTTGGTTTGGGAAGGGAAATTTGTAGTGCCCAGAATTCATCCACAGCCACGGGTCTCTTTGGAAATTTGCCATTCAGAAGTTGTATCCGTTTGTACGTATTTGGCTGCAAGTAACAGACAACTATCTTTTAAGAGGGAGGGCTTAATTAAGATAGGCTGTGCCAGGGTCGTCAAAAGGGCTTTCTCTTTATTTGGCTCTTTTATCTGGCCAGAACCTGGTCATGTGGCATTCACTGGCAAAGGGGAGCGGGATTTCCATGATTGGCCCAAAGCGGTTCATCTCTTGGCACGAGCACTGTTGACCTCTAAGAAAAGAAGTGTTTGGTTGGCAAGGAGAATGGGGGACAGCTCAGGAATAGGCAAAAAACCCAGCACTGACCGCAGAAGTATTAATTTACCTCGATTAAGTAGCTGGTTTATTCAGCGTAGCATTTTCCCATTATTTTAAAATAAAGAAGCAGTAAGTGATACTCCAGATGTTTAGTTCTCTAGATTGGTAACAATCCAGGCGAAAGGGTTTACAACCGGGTCTGTCTGGAGCTTACTTAGAAGGCTCAGTTTGAAGCACGCTCAAGGCACCCAAAAAGAATCCCATTCATTTGTGGTCATGAGGAGCCTCTTAAATTTGAGTCCTTTTTTGAGGTTTCTAGAATTAGTACTTGGGATTGGCACTTACAGAATAAGACTCGAGATGCTTTGTGAGCCCTAGACTATGACTTTGCGTATCATCCGAGGAAACCTTTTGAAAAATGTCACCAGAAAAGAAAGTCTGCAAAATGAGAATGATTTATTATTATGCTTTGATAGATTTATATCTTTCCACTTACCTTAATGCTTTCCCTCTTCATTCTGTCATCTTCACACCCTGCCTAAGTTGATTTTTTTTTAATGTTTGTTTATTTACTTTTGAGAGAGAGAGTGCGCACACATGCAAATGAGTCGGGGAGGGGCAGAGAGAGAGGGAGACAGAAATCCCAAGCAGGCTCCATCCTGTCAGGGAAGAACCTGACACGGGGTTTGATCTCATGAATTGTGAGATCATGATGTGAGCTGAAATCAAGAGTCGGATGTTTAACCGACTGAGCCACCCAGACGTGCCCCACCCC